ACTTGCCCTCGAGGGTCCTCAGGGCCAGGTAATTCCCGTCGTGACGGACCCCGCGGTGGCTGCGCTGTTTGATGTCGATGTTGGTTGCTCCGGCGGGGATGGTGACGATGTCGTTGTAGCCGTATCTGCACGGGGCAAAGGGACATGGTTATTTTCCTGGACATATTAAGAGGAGACCTGTGCAGGGGATAGCACTTTGCGGGTGGGATCATGGCTCTGAAGCCGTCTTTCTGTAACCCAAGGCGCTCAAGAGCTGGAAATACTGCAGTCGTGCCAGATGAGTGCTCGACTAGAAGACTTTTGCTGAATTACATGCAAAAATGAGTGATGCAATCAAACAAGCAGCCCCACGGTTACCAGCCTCGGTGGGAAATTTCCCTTACTCCCTTCCTTTTGAATTGGGTGAAGGGTTTGGACTAAAAGCCTGGCTCTGCCCAGCGATGCTGTCACTGGCGATGCTGAAGGATAGCGTCGGGTATAGCTAGATATAGAAGAGCAGAACAGGAGAGAGCCGGGGCGCTGCTGGCATCGTATGCACAGAGGGTACGTACATTGGCCAGGTGTTGCTGCCAAAACCAGACCAGCAGTTAAACAGTTAACCCGACAGCCGTCTCGTACTGTAGATGACTTGATATTAACTCAAAAGCCTTTCCTGGAAGACAGCAAGCACTACGGCAGCAAAACCATCCCTACCCGTGGGCAGGCATATCTGCACACTGGACTCGTCTTTAGAAGGGTTTTGCAGCCTCCACGGCGATGCAGAAGAGCTCCCGTCGGAGGGCACAGGGCACATTCCCATGCCAGGGAAGAATTCCGGGAGCAGAGCACCACGGCTCCCGGGACAGCACCGGGAAGGCTTCGGTACTCGAGCCCTCGGCACCCAGTGCTACGCCAATTACTTGCTGCTATAATAAAATGCCACCCTGGCGTGACTCACGCCGTGGGGCTGGCAGGATCGTTTTCCACGCATCCCCGCGGTTGATGCTGTGGTCGGTAATTAGGTTTAGAGTATTTTGGAACGAAGCCTTTGGGTCAAACTCTGCTCTCAGTCACCCTGGCCTCCCTAACTCTGATCTTAATGGGATCTCTTCTTGGCTGTAGCTACCACGCTAATCTCTCTTTAGTTGACCACAAACAATTCATAGGAGAGTGGAAGCCCCATTTCAGCTGGCTCCCTGGAAGGAAACCATTTAGGAAATCTAATTTGACTGCGTGAGTCACCTCGCCGCGTGGAATTGGACGCGTTGGGCTTCTGCTACGATCTTTTCAACAAAAAACCTTAAATTGAGCTCTTTGGCAAAGCAATGGAGATCTTGGGCGAGGGAAGCGGCTGCCTCGATGCCCGCGTCCCAGGACTGAGGTGCACCCCCAAGCCCAGGGAAAAGGTATTGAACTATTTATATCCCGCATCAGCCCTCGAAATATGTGTCCAGCTCGCTGCATTGGGGCGAGACGCATATTGTAAACTCCTCAGGGCAGCAGATTTACTTGCAGAGGCGTACTGAGCCCGTCACCGGTGTCAGCACCAGCTATTATTTTAGGAAATAAACTCTGCTTGGCTTGCATAACGCTGCCCCTGAAATAAACTTAGCATAAGCTCTGGAGTTTGGGGAGGAGACCAGGCTGTTGCAAGGCCACCCGGCTGAGGGTGTTTGCACGGCTGCAAACCCCGGTTAAGGGCACGGAGGGGAAGCCAAGCACTCCTCGAGCCCGGCTGCTGCAAACAAGGTCTGCAGCTAGATGCGACGCTTCGGGTGCGGAAAGCAAACTGGCTTTACGTGACCTAGGAGGAATCCTAATATTCCTAGCCTAGCACTTTTGCAGTAAAAAAAAAGAAGAAAGGAGCATGAGAGGGGAAGCTGGTTTTTCTCCCCCCAACCCCTCTCCACCGACGTCTTCTCCCCAGCGCCTTACTTGGATCGGTTGAGCGAGCCGGATATTTTCCTGCAGGTCGAACCGTTGCCGCCGCACACCCCGCACTTGTCCAGTTTCTTGGAGGACCCCACTACATGATCGCAGCCAGCCTTGATGCACTGCCCGTGGACGCAGATGGAGAGGGTCTCTGGCCCGCACAGCGTCCCATCGATCACCTAGGAAAGCAGGGATGCAGAGGAGCAATTAGGGCATTTGGTCTGAAACGGGGTGGAGAGGGGCGATTACCATCACCAGGTATCTTACTTTGGCCTCAAAGACTTTAAATTCGCTCCTCCCCCTGGCTCGGCAAAAGAGCTTGCACCGGTCTCGGGGTGACACCCCCGCGTACTTGGGAACCCACTCCAGGAGATTCCCTTCCAGATCCGTGAAGTTGTAGCTGTTGTACTTCTCGCACTGCTGCTCCCGAAAGCTCTTCCCTGAAAGGAAAGGCGAAACGTGACCCAAAAACCATGGGAAGCCGGTGGTCGGCCGTCACGGACATGCAGGAGCGAGCTGAGGATAGCGGGAGCACGCAAGCAGAGGAGGGATGCCACACACCTCCCACCCAGCCGGAGGGGATCGCAACCCCCAGCAGAAGGCTATTGCACCCCCCGAAAAAAAATATGAATATTCAAGGGAGAGCGGAGCAATCCCTGGCGATGGGTTCTGGAGAAACGGGGCCAGGAGGTGAGCGTGTATCCTGGTTTCGGCTGGGATAGAGTTAATTTTCTTCCT